CACCAGAAGCTGCGTTGGTTGGGACATGTGTTACGTATGCCGAACCATCGTTTGCCGAAGAGAGTGCTGTTTTCCATGCCCAATTCAGAGTGGCGTAAACAGAGAGGTGGCCAACCCTTGACTTGGCAGAAGAGTATGAAGGAGATCACGAAACGCGTGGGTGCTGTCGGGCCTATTCGCCTTCCAGGATGGGGACCGCGTGATCCTCACTGTGCCTGGTTGTTGGCACTACAAGATATGGCTGCCAACCGAGTCAATGGCGATGCTGTCGTTGATGATGATGATGATTATTCGCGTTATTGAAACGCTCGAGTAAATGGCCGTCGGTTTGCTCAGTAGGCTTGGATATCTGTTCATTTTTAGCGAATGAAATCATCCTCAAAGCTCACTCGTTTCAGTCGTTCTAAAGTGTAAATCGCGTTTTCAAGAAAAGTCTATCTACTAACAGTGTAACTAGCCCTTGTGCCGAATGCCATATTTCTGGCATTCGATGCTTTGGACAACCTGAACCTGGCCGTCCTGGTTGAGGTCTTCTGGGAATAATGAGTTAAGCAAATCTAATGAATGGAGGGGAATCTTTGATAAACCTCCTTTGCGTTCCACTATGTTTTTATTTTTAACACTTGTTTTGCTACTTTTAACACAGATGACCTTCCGTTCAGTTCAGATGAGATTACTGTTATCTTCGTAACTTTTTCAGTCATCTTATTACGAGTTTGGCTACACCCTTGTCCAACAAGTTGGATGAGTGGCGACGCGCACTTATCCAGCTGGAGAAGGATAGGGCCCGCCAAATTAAGCGAGCGCGGGCCGACCTGAAGCGAGCGGTGTCGGAAGCCGACCGCTGGCAAAAGAAAGCGGCCAAGTGTGGTTCCAGCGAACTTGGACCCGGTGTGGGCCACGGAGTCTTGCCTTCTTCCAACCTATCTATATCAAGCTCCAAGGCAAGCGTCATCGCCACTCAGGCTGCTAATGCACTGCGTGAAGTACGGTTGAAGACGGAAGTGTTGGAGTCCACGGAAAAGGCCTCTGTTCGAGGCTTGATGCTAGAGGAACGGGGTCGCTTTTGTTTCTTTCTGTCCTGCCTGCTACCACTACTGGTGAGTTGAATGCTGGTTAAGTGACTGACTGAGCTGGAATCTTACCCCCTCCATAGTTCTTAGATCGGTTCATTAAGTCTTCAAAGTTTCTGTTCTGTACTTAAGGTAGTAGACAATTACTTTGTCTTCTGTAGCTGTCACCTGGAGTTTGCAGTTGAACTCAAGTCTCGTTGCGATCCCACGGGTCTTAGCTGTTAGAATTTTGTTTCTCGCGTTTTGCTCATACTTTGCATGACGAAGCCTGAGCTTTCAGACAAGCTGCAAGCCCTACACCTTGAAAAGTTATTCTCTGGTAGTTTTTTAGATTTCCGCATCAGTGGAGGAGGTGATAGCGGCATCCTGAAGAAGAGGGACTGGAGCACTGTCAGTTTGCATAGACCAGTTGATGTGTAGCTTGAAGCACGAAATTTCTTATCAGAAACACGTGCTTTCCAATGTGCTTTCGACAGCACAGTTGTCTGTTTTTTGTCCAGGCGTATATGAAGTCTCTCCTCTTTGGCGCTCGCGTGCATAGCTACGAACAGTTTAATCGAGGGAGTTGGTCTTAGACTGTGAATGGTCTATTTCCTTACAGTTCTATTCACCCAAGACCGGCTGTTCACACGAATGATTGTCCTACAACATTTTTGTTGAAGGTTTACAGGAGTTCTAGTGCATTACTAACATAAATTTCATCAGACTCGTGCGACACTTCAGAAGCTGCCGGACATATACAAATTTCTTGGATTTACTCACAGCATGGTGCTCTTCTTTCCATTTATAAGCTGGGTACACAGCAGGGCTTTATGAACTACAATGCGCTCTTTGAAAGCCGCACTGGTGGTGATGTAATCTCGCTAGGGGGCGAACGCCCCTAATTATGTTCGCTTATGTGCGGCATTACGTCGTCGAACTGAACGCTGATTTCACGACGATGTATGTTTCAACTGGCTCAGCGAAATCTTTACAGCTTATCAGGCTATCGAAGTTTGTCTCTTACTGTTTCGTCTGTACCGGCGACCTTCATGCAGAAGCATCCCAAAACAATCCTCCAGATTTCTTCGAGATTTTACGCAGGTGTTTACCGTCAGACACAACGAGTTAGTGACCTCTCTCTCAGATAGAGACTAAGTGCTCTATTTTTACATACTAGTCTATTTGCATCAAGGGACCACTGTAATAAGATGGCAATGTGCTTCTTGGCCGGTGTGCTCGCTTGAGTTCGTAATGTTACCGCTGACTGTCAATGTTATGGCTGAATTATATATAGAACGGCCTCTAGAATTAGGTATTTGGACATAGCCCTTTGCTTACAGGTGACCGAAAATTGATTGCCAAAATACATTTTAATAGTAGCCCGGTTGGACTATCGCTGGACAAAAGTAGATAGTTGGTTCCGTAGTGTTCTTTGATAAGTAATGATTAGGTTAAGATCCTAATTACCATGTATGCCAATTCAAAAGGCTTGTCTTTTTATCTTCGTTGTGTTATTTTTGTATGCATTGCCGTTGAACCCAGGTTGGTTGGAGGTTGCCACAGCAGTAGAAAACAGTCAACTTTTCATTCTTTAGATTAGCTCTGGTAACTCCACATGGTTACTATCAAAAGCACTATGGAGTCTTGTCGCCTTTTCAGCTGGAGATCTGTGGTCGAAACCTTGTGTGATCTAGACCGTCAGTCATTTAGTTAGTCAAACATAGCCAGCACTCGACCAAACTGCTGTTGGTGCAGTGGTGAGGGAAGTCGTGCATGAGGTTATAAGAAATTTATTCCGACCGTGCTATCGTGTGATGTCATTGTCATACAAGGACTGATATCCAGATGGGATTTGCCGTCCGGCGTTGGTCAAATCACTGAACGCACGTGCATAGTTTGATCTCCACAGCCGGTTCGTGAAGAGCCGACCTTGGTTGTACATATATATATATATATATATATATATCCGAATCCCAAAGCACCTTGGGTGGGGTTGA